TCTTACTCTCCCCCTCACCCAGCATTTTCAAACAAATCTCAGACATTATATTCAGAAGTGTTTTCTTTATATGATTGCGTATATTTCTTGTTAAGTTTATTATTAGGCATTTTATCTAAATATTGGTTATATAAGGAGCTCTGGTGGCACAGTGCATAAGGCATTTGACTGCTAACCAGAAGGTTAGTGGTTCAGACCCACCAGCCACTCTGCAGAAGGAAGACTGGGCAATCTACTTTGGTAAAGATTTATTGCCTCAGAAACCCAATGGGGGTCTCTGCGCGTTGAAATTGACTCGATGGCAGTGAGTGAGTGATTGGATGTGTATGTATATGTGTGTGTGTGAAATTTGTTGCTATGTATTAATTTTGTAACTTTTAGTTTTATTATTGGCCTATGTTAAATAAAATTTATAAATTTGAAATAAGGTGAATTACTACCTTTCCTAGTCTCTGCAATTTCATAAATTTGTCAACCAGATTTTACCTATGTGCATACCTGGTCTATTAGTTAGGAATATGCTAAAATTACAGGTATAAACTAATGTAGTAGGCTACTAATCTTGTTCTCAACAATATGATTATGATCTGAAAAATATCGATCAGCCCCTGTAATGGCACCACAAGCTTACCAGGGATTCCTGTCCCATAAGGCTTTCTGTTATGACCTGAAAAACTTGGGCTGTGTTTAGTTTCCTGTGACTTTGTAATGTTGTTATTGTACTTGCTGGACTTTATTCTTCCAGTAGATCTTAAAAATCACATCTGGATGGTAAGTGAGACGCTCAGAAATGCAAATTAACTCTTTCAAACCATTAGGGGACCATTTCAGTCTTTTTGAGTTCTTATGAGAAACACTGATTAGATGTATTAGGAACCATGTTGTGAGTTGAATAGTATTTTTAGACTGTTTCAAATGCAGCACCATAAGCATCCTGTTTGATTTTCAAACTCTCAGAGAGTTTTATCAGTCCTTTTTGGTCCTGTCCTGTCTTAACTGATGTTCTGCCAGAGTAGAGTCAGAGATTGGGGGTCTACTCAATTAGGAAAATTCATATTGTTGGAAGTCTTTATCTCTCCCATGGCCTGTCTCTGAAATGGCATCTGGTTTTTCTGTAATTAATTATTTTCTCAATTTAATGGGAACTTTCTTTGGATATACCTCGTTATTACATAAGTAAATTAATTCTAGTTTATTAAAGAAAAAAAAAATTAAAGGAATTTTCCTTCAGAGAAAAGTCCTTTTTTCTAAGTTACAATGGCCTAGTTTTCATGAAGTCTTTTAAGTGACAGATTCATTTGGATGGAGATACATATATTTCATTAAAACATGGCTTTGAGGGGGAACTATGGACCTAGTTTTGATATTAATGATATCCTTGAATACCAGGTTACCTGACTTTGATCAAGTTAAGTGACTATTACTGTTTAAGAAAATAATACCTACCTCATTGAGATGTTAAAGAATTAAGTGAATTAATGTATTTAAAGAACTTAAAATAGAACCCAGCACACATAATTTCAATAGAGTGTTAAGCAAACAAAAAGTAAAACCTGAATACAGAAATTGGCTTTCCTAAAATGTCAAAATAGGTCAAGGAAACTCCAAAATTCTAGTCTGCTTTCTTTCAACTCACTCTTTTGAATTAGCTTCTTTTCTGCAAATATAATAGTTGCTAACTTTAACAACCTCTTTCATTTTAAAGATTCGCCGATTCTCAGTCCAGCTAATTCTGCAATCAATTTAAGTGGCGCGCAGGACCTGACCCGGAATAAGAATGTTGTGAAACCACTGGCTTTATCTTTGCAGGTTGTAGGGAAGACTTTTGCTGCAGGTGATGTTTTCTTCACTTATACTTCTTTGGTAAATACATAGTCTGTAAAGGACTTGTGGGAAATTCAGTTGACAGACTGACAGAAGAAAACAGAAACTGCTTCTACCTGCCAGTTGAAAACAGAAGCAAGGCTTTTTATAGTAGTGTATTATTCCCCAAAGCCTTGTAGTCTGTATATTCCAACCAGAAAAGTTAGAGAATAGCACTTGGCACACACAATGGAGACGGAGCAGTTTGATTCCATTCAACAACTATTTATTTGAGTACCTGCTCTGACTAAAAATTGAGTATATAAAGTTAAATAAGACTGCAATCTGACCCCTAGAGTACTTTTGTCCTTTTAGGAGAAATTGACTTTGTACTAATTTCGTTGGATTCTGTAACAAAGTATGACAAGATGTATGGCTAAAACAATAAATATTTACTCTGTCACATTTCTGGAAGGTAGAAATCTGAAAAGCTGTCAGCAGGGCTATAGTCTCTTTGACATTTCGAAGAGAGCAATCTTTGCTTTTCTCTCGTGGCTTCTGGTGGTCCCAGGCATTCCTTGGCTTGTAGCAGCATAACTCTAATCTTTGCCTCTGCCTTCACATGGTTGTCTTCCCTGTGTGTCTGTCTCCTCTTTTTATAAGGACACCAGTAATATGGATTAGGATTAATCCTATACCAGTATTGACCACATGTTAACTAATTACATCTACAAAGACTATTTCTAAATAAGTTTACATTCACAGGTACCAGGGGATAAAACTTCAAAGTATCATTTTAAGGGGGACAATTCAATCTGTAACATACCCATAACAAGAAATTTTGGGAGTATTATGGTAAAGAAAACAATATGCTAGGGAGCAGAGAAGGGAATTTCAGCCCAGCATTTTAGGGAGTAACTGAGAATGATTTGGTGGAGGAGCTTGGTTTTGGATGATGGTGAGGTGTTAACAATACATAGGAGAAGGGGAGAGACATAATGTTTGCAGGTACTTCCAGCAGTTTGGAGTTATTAGACCATGGTGGGCAAGGGAAAGGTCATAGGAGGCTGTGTTAAAAAATGAGGATTCTACTCCATAACTGATAGAACAGGATAATTACGTAGTCTGCATTGAACTTGAGCTAGGTCATTTTGACAGCAATCTGAAAAAGAAGACAGAGGTAGGAAAATTAGTTGGAGGACATTTCAGTAGTCTAGATGAGAAATAAAGAAGGCCTTGGCCAGGCCAGCAGGGTTGGAGAAAAGGTGACAGATTTGGATAAATACTCAGGAAGTAAAACCAGGACTTGACTGAGCTAATGTGAGCATGAAGGAGAAGAAGGGGTCTAGGTGATGTCCACCTTTCTGTGCTAATGGTAAGGTGGTACCATTACCTGATATACAGAAGGAGAAGCATGTTCTCCAGGAGGAGACTGTGAGTTCGATTTGGACATGCTAAATTTGAGATACCTATGACATACAGTGGAACTGTTCAACAGTCCTTTGTTTTGCCATGGCAGAAAGTCAAATGAAACTGTGTTTAGACTGGTGGTTTAGATTTAAGCTACGGACATGTCATTAAAATCATCAGGGTAACTGATATCACCCAGGGAGAGATGTCGTGTGAGACTGTGATAAAGTGAACTGAGGATAAAGTCCTAGAAAAGTCCAGTTAAATGTTTAAGGAGACAGAATGGTCAGAGAAGTAAAAGAAGAATGAGGAGAAAAAGCCTGCCATTTTTGGAAACTTTCCAACAATTCGGCATCATAATTTACCCAGCCCACTTTTGTTCTTACTCTGATCCTGTTGCTTGCACCTTCTCCCTCAGTCTTAGATTACAGACCTGAATAAGCCGAATCCAAATTTTTATAGCATTTTGAAAAATAATGAAATAATAGATTTTGGCAGTAATCATCTTGGCTTCTAAAACCATCAGATGAAAAGTGATTAGCAAGATTGTAGTGCAAGGATTAGTCTGACAACCCTTTAACCCACTGATCAATATTAACATCTCAAAAAGAAAAACAGCCATTATGTGCTTCCTGATGGAAATTATAAAAGGAACTTTAGTGGGTGCAATGATTAAAGCATTCAGCTGCTAATCAGAATGTTGGCTGTTTGAACCCACCAGCTGTTCCGTGGGAGAAAGATAAGTAGTCTGCTTCCATAAAGATTTATAGCCCTGGAAACCCTATGGGACAGTTCTACTCTGTCCTGTAGGGTCACTATGAGTCAGAATCAACTTGATGGTGGTGGATTTGGTCTGTTTTCTGGATGGAAATAATAAACTCTGCTTATTAGATACTTGTGCCAAAAAAATTAAACCTGAATCTGATCACCTCTATTTCTAACTTGTTTAGAGGAAATACAGGGGACAAAGAACTGTAAAGTGACACCAGAGTATCCTATCAGCAAAACCCAGAAAATGGGAAATTTTGCCAAGTCTTCAACAGATTAATTGTAAAAAAGAAAAAGCAAAAAAGAGGAAGCCTATATATTAAAAGAGGTTTATGGGACATATCAACTAAATTCAATGTGTGGATCTTTTTTTGAGCCCTGATTTGAGCAAGCCAACTGTAAAAAAAGATATTTCTAATTGGAGGAAATTTGAATACTGATGGGATATTTGATGATACTAAGAAATTATTAGTCTTTGTTAATTTTAAGTATATGGTTTTTCAGATATCCCTGTTTTAATAAACACATACTGGCATATTGATGGATGAAATAATATGAGTTTGCTTCACAATAATCCAGAGCATGTATGTGTGTATATGGAGGCAGGAGGGAAGATGGGGTATAGATGAAGTAAGCTGGCCATGTGTTTATAAGTGTTGAAGCTGGGTGACTGGTACACAGGAGTTTATTACACTGTTCTCTCTACTTTTATGTTTGAAAATTTCCATGATACAAGATTTAAAAAAAAAAAAAAGTTTTCCCTTCCTTCACCCAACACTTCACTGAAAATGACATCGTCAATGAAAAGATGTCTTAAGGTCCTAAAGAATAACTTTTAGGTGGCATTTAATTTCAATGAAGGTACTGCTCTGTTGTTTGTAGTTGGTTTTATATAAATTGACTAAACCAGTCAGTGATGTTTTTTGAATCCTAGGGTGTGAGGGTTATCGTGTGGTAGCAGCATCACAGAATGCTACCCAGCCTGTCTTCTGAGTGGCTTCTCTGCTTGTGCACCATAGATGCTGCTAACGGAAACAGTAGCCATGGAGGGAAGAGCAGTGCGTCCAGCTCCACTCCAGCCCGCCCAGTGACTTACTCTTTGTCAGCAAGACCAAGCTATGCATCAGGAGACCCAGGTAAAAAACCCATTTTAGAATCTTGAAGTAACACACTTAATTATGGTAGAGATACTACAGGTTTTAGAACAATGAATTAGCTGACAGCATACTTCCAGTGTTTTTTCTTAGTTTATCAAACAATGCTTTGAACATTTACTATTGGTGTGAACAATGATGATTAAATATCTTAGTGATTCTATTAAGTGGATGACCTATCTGGGAAGTACTATTGAAATAAATGTATAAGGAAATGTCCTGAAAAACCATGGGATTTGATGACCAAAGTACATGATTCAACATTCCTCTCTGATATGTTACTCTGGGCAAATCTGAGCCCTCCTTTCTCCATGTACAGAATGAATATAACAATCACAGTTGTATTGTAACTTCATGGAGTTGTTGATAGAATCAAAATGAAATCTTCTCTTTCTCTCTCTCTCTCTGCCTTCGGGTCGAACCCCGACTCATAGTGACCCCTCCCTTGGGTTTCCGAGGCGGTATCACTAGAGAAGTAGATTGCCCAAACTTCCTTCTGAGGAGTGGCCAGTGGGTTTGAACTGCCAGCCTTCTGGTTAGCAGTCAAATGCCTTAGGCACTATGCTACCAGAGATCAAAATGAAATAGTCTGGGTAAAACTGTAAAATAGTGTATACAGATGTTAAGTTGTATTGTTGTTGTTATGTGCCATAGAGTTGGACCCAACTCATAGCGACCCCTCCTTGGGTTTCTGAGGCAGTATCACTACGGAAGTAGATTGCCTCATCTTCCTTCTGAGGAGTGGCTGGTGGGTTTGAATCACCAGCTTTCTGGTTAGCAGTCAAGTGCCTTAGGCTACCAGAGCTCTCAAGTTGTATTATTAGTGTGCCTTTTTCTAACTTCATTTTGCCTCTAGAAGAATAACTTGGACTTTCTGAATACACTAAGTCCCTAGGATAGAACATTGGACTCATGGAAAACTCCTACTTGCCCTTTATTGTTACGTAAATTTTCTCTCACTTTCAAATGACTGAAACCCTGACTGCAACAAATTCTTCATCACAATCACCTTCACTTGGGACACATGCAGCTTTTAAATCATTGAAAAGACCTTGAGCCTTTTCTTGCACTAAAGTAAAGCTAAATAAAAACTGTACGCACCTGTTCCAACCTACCTACAAATGTGACTTAAAGATGCACTTAGGAATGGATCTCATTGTAACCTAGGGACTGTCTGTATAATCAAATTAAAGGCCCTGTGTTACTTTGACATTTCCTTTCTTCCATATTGCTGAAAAGAAGACCCAGCTTTCTTTTTGTCCCCAGGGACCGTGTTCATTTCTGGGCCACCAAAGAAACGACACCGAGGATGGTATCCTGGGTCACCTCTCCCCCAACCTGGTTTAGTTGTACCTGTTCCTACAGTTCGACCTCTTGCAAGAACTGGTAAGATTTTAGCAGAAGACTAAAGATTTTAGGTTTTTCTTTTTAAATTAGCAAAGATATTTTCTACATTTGTTTTTTCCATGAGACCTTGAAGATAAATTTCCTTAACTAACCATTGTGTCCAATATTTTGTAAGGATGTTAATAGTAGGTAATATTTTCTTCCCCTCACATCTACATTCCCTACAGCCACATATGGTCTTAATTCACTTGGTATAATTTTCTCCCATAATTTTAATAAGCTATTCTTTACACACATGATGCTACCAACCCACCATCATAGGGCATAAATAGACTTGTTTTGCTGGTAGTTAGATTTATCCTCCTGTGATCTCATTCCCTATGTGAACCATGCTTATTATTTCTGGTCTAGTTGGTTCACCCTGTGACTAGAAACCTGAAAAACCAATTGGTTCTGCTTGATGCTGCCAAACTATAGCCATGAGGTGTCTGTGGTTAAATGGCAAAACACTTGTCTGCCTCATTGTACTAAATTATAAATGTACTGATTCTAAGACATAAATGGAGTTCTTTAAAAATTTAAGTGTGTTTAAATAAGTAGTTTTAAAGACCACACAGAGATCTTATTATACACAAAGAATTGTGTCAGTTTGTTACCATGGTTGCCCTTAGGGTAGTACTGATTAGTGATGAGTTTATCCTTATTCACACTTTTCTACACTTTTCAAATTTTCTACAATGAGCAGATATGCCTTTGATAATCTGAAAGGAAAAGATAAACTACAAAACAGAATCCAAAAGATTATATGTGGGAAAAACAACTGGAAAGAAAACTACTGAAATACTAAATAGTAATTATCTCCAGATGTGTGTGTGATCATGGTTGATATTTCTGTTCTTTCTCTTGCTTTTTCACCATTTCTAATTTTATATAATAAACATGAATTACTTTAATGGAAAAAAAAAGCACAAAAACCATTCAACTTCTGAAACTTCTTTATTAAAAGTATTAAAATTGTTGCTTTCTATTGTGTTTCATTTAGCTTTCCCTAATAACTCTTCTTCTCAAACAACTTTTTTCCAGAACCCCTTTTATCTGCCCCTGGTCCACAGACCCCATTAACTGGAATTTTACAACCTCGGCCCATCCCTGCAGGGGAAACTGTAATCGTTCCTGAAAATCTGCTGAGCAACTCAGGAGTTAGACCGGTAATTTTGATAGGTAAGGCAAAGGGATTGCAAGTTACCTGTGTTGGTTAGAATCTAGGAGTGTTTCTTCATTGCATTGTTTGTGCATTTCTTCATGTATTAATGAAAATATTCATTTAACCCTCTATTGATTCTTTCAGCTTTTATGGGTCAGCTACTTCATGATGTGTTAAACATGGACTAGAAGTTGGAAATGAGGCAAAATCTATTTGCCCTCAAGGAGCACTGTTTATTTGGAGAGTCTGACATGTAAATACAATTACAGCACTCTGATAGGTGAGGTAGTGGAGGTTTCTACTCAAGAACTACAAGAGCACAGAGGAGAGGGGCTTACCTTTGCCTGGAGGGACCTGAGAAAACTTTTTTCAGAGATGATGCTTAAACTGAGTCTTGAAGGATTGGTAACAGTAGAAATGGTGGGGGAGGGGACTTCCAGTCAGAGGGAGCCAAACCACAGAGAAAAGAAACAAACTAAGCCTTTGACAGACTCCACTCAAAAGAGCCAGGAGGGCCCAGAATTGCCGGTCGCAACCGTGGAGAGCATCTGTGAATCAGTATCTTTAAGGAGTCTCAGTCTTTCTAGGCTGTGTATAAGTGAAGGTGTAGAAATACAGGGGTACCTAGATTTAAGGATTGACTGAACACTTTTCATACCCACCTCAAAAGTCTCCTTAGTCTTGGGCTTAGCCTAAGCCAGAAGGAGACTGCCTGCTATACCTTCAGGACAAAACAGGTATGGCGTTTAAGCACCACTAAGTTGGTATGTCTAAGTGAGGTGTTATCTGCTTCTTGCAGTTAGCCTGAGCCTATTGATATGATTAGTTTTGCTTCAAGCCCTGTCTTTTATCTCACTGCCCCATCTACTGATTCTGGGCCTGTACACACTGGAGGATCCCAGTTGTTTAAATCCTATATAGCTTAGGAAATTCTCAGTGAGCATATACATGGTACAACTAAGCCTTAGAAAGATAAGTAGAACATGGGTATCCTTTGGTTCCTACCTTTAAGGAGTCTCACAGATACTGTCTTCCATACCATACCACCAAAATGGGGTATATTTCAACATATTTTTATCCTGTCTACTTCTACTCCCAAGATAATTTGAGGCTGTTACTGTCACAGAAAAATAACAAAAATATCTAAAATAGATAGAAGGAATAGAAACTATCAGGCACCTTCAACTGGTACAATATTGCTGTTAATCAGTGGAGTTAGCTTACATTTTCTTTCAAGAAAACCCCAGTATGTGAAACATGTTAGAGTAGTTTGTTTTCTGATGTTGTCTACACAGAAAATTTCTTATCTAAAAGGGAACTCAATCTGAAATTTATGGGAAAATATTTATAACTGCAGTTTTACAAAGGATACAGAGATGCTTTGCAAACTCTCATCAGTCCTCTATGACAGAGATTAATATTAATTAATATTAATGTGGCCTTTATGTAAAAGATAATTAAAATGATAATATGAGTACTTTGCTTCCTGTTCATCTAGTTTAAGATAAGGATAAGAATGTGGAGCAGCTAAGTGAATTCCCTAGGATTTGAGTGATGGTAGCCATCTCAGAGGGCAGGGGACTTTGTAAGCATCTTTATATTCTAGTTCAGCAAATGTACCTGGTTGGACCTAAAAAAAAAAAAAAAAAAAAAGTTAACATTTTTTTAACCTGTTTATCGACCTGCTTCTTTTGGTGCAGGCTATGGCACTTTACCCTATTTCTATGGAAATGTTGGTGACATTGTTGTGAGTCCTCTGCTGGTGAATTGCTACAAGATTCCACAGGTGGAAAACAAAGATTTGGAACAATTAGGGTTGACTGGCAGCCAACTCCTGAACGTGGAAAACATGATTCTTCTGACTATCCAGTATCTTGTGCGGCTGGGTAAGCTGGTTTTGATAGCAATTTGATGGTGACTATTCCATTCTTCTTTGTAACGTAACTTTTTCCTTTCTTTCTATATTTTCTCATGTTCATTCACCTTTGTCTCTGGTTTTCCTGCTGTATCTTCTACCATTCCTTTCTTTCAACTCCATTTTCTGATTTTTCCCTTTCCTCGCCTCCATTTCTTCTCTAGTCCTCTCTTTTCCTTTCTTCCTCTTCTCCTTCATTTCAATCACCTGCCTATCTCACTTCTCCTCTTCCCATTTCTCTCAGATCAGCTTTCCTTGATCCTCTGGTTGCTTCTTTGGGCCCTCTGGTTGCTTCTTCAGATCCTAGAAGAGATGAATTGCCCCACCTAGTGTTCAGTGTCACAGTGCTCCTAAGCTCTCCAAAGCAAACCATGCAGGCAGAACTTTAAAGAGTTGTGCTATGGGCACACTCCACTGGGGAGTCTGGCTAAACTTCCTTTCTGAAAATACACCATCTAGAATACAAACATAGCATTGCCTTAGGCAGTGATTTTCCAGTTTTCCACTTAGCCTTTTTATTTTATCCCTGCATATATTTTTTGCTTCTCTAGCTAGACCCCTTTTATGTAGTCACATCATGTCTTCCTTCATTGAGGTGGTAAATGTAGACCTCTCTGGAAGATTCTCTGACCTTTAGGGTAAGGGAATATTTAGGTCATGAACCCTCTACCTACTCTATTTGGTATATAATCCTGAGCCCCACAGTGAGTATATGCAGGTGCCCTGACAAAACTGTGGCAGCATTTACATTGAAATGTCCTTTATTTTGCAAACTGCAGTAAGCCATATGATAAGTAGCCTAATTACAAACTCCCCTTGGGACTTCAAACCACTGATTTACTGAGAAAAACATTCAAGATGTAAAATTTACACATACAAATTCTATGCACTCCATGAATTTTTTTTTTAAATATTAGAAAAACACTTTAATATTAAAAAAATTTGAAAAACACTGGCCTAGCCAAAAGCTTTAACAAGCCAGATTCAGTCTCTAAAACATCAGTTAGTAACCTTGGCTATAACATCCAGTGCCGTGAAAGCCTGAAGGCCAGTTTTGATGTGCTTTCCAAACTTTCAAGTTTCAGATTTCACTTGAACCACTTTCATGATAAATCTAGGACTTGCTGATCATGCTTATTGATAGATAATAAAATTATAAACATCACCTGGGTCTGTAACTCATTTGTTATCATAATTTTAATTATGTATTGAAACTGGACTGTGCACTGTGTTCAAAGATAAAACATCAGCTTCTAGATGTACCCAGAATTGTTATTCTTCTAAGCAAACCAAACTATTCAGTATAGCATTTTTTTTTAAATCTTCATAACACTTTTAAAAAATCAAAGTCTAAGTTAATGAAATGAACTACATGGTCAAAATAAAATGTCTTCCCTTAAATTAATAGAAGCTTTCATCGTAAAAACACAAAAATCTCTATTCATGTATACATGGGTTCTTTGTGCCCTACAGGATAAATTCCTTTCTGAGTTTTACTTCCAATCAATCAATTAATTAGGTGTCTCTGTGTTCAACATCTATAGACTTTTTTTTTTTAAACTAGACTTTTTGTACATTGGGACTTCTTTGCCTCCCCAAAACTAGTTCTTCTGGGTCTCAGCAGTTTATTTTTTGTTGCAGAAGTTTTGAAGAAGGCAGCAGGAATATTTTCATATATACTGTAGATGATGATGTTGTTGTTGTTGGCCGGCGAGTCAGCCCTGACTCATAGCGACCCCTCCTTGGGTTTCCGAGGCAGTATCACTACGGAAGTAGGATTGCCCAACCTTCCTTCCGAGGAGTGGCTGGTGGGTTTGAACCGCCAGCCTTCTGGTGAGCAGTCAGGTGCCTTAGGCACTGTGTTCCCAGAGCTCCCTGTAGATGATAGGCATTAAAAATATAAATCCAAACTTCTCAAAGGACATGTCTAACATTTTGATGCCTGAGTGGTATAAACACTTAATGTGCTCAGCTGCTAACCAAAAGGTTGACGGTTTGGTTCCACCTAAAGGCACTTTGGAAGAAAGGCCTGGTGAGCTATATACTGTCCCAGGTTATAAACGAGATCCATTCCCAAGTGTGTCATTAAGTCAAATTCGTAGGTAAGTAGGAATAAAACATACAGTTCTTATTCAGCCTTTAGTGCAAGAAAAGGCGCAGAGTTTTCAATGATTTAAAAACTCTACATGCAGCAAGTGAAGGTGATTGGGATGAAGAATTTGTTGGGCATAGGGGTTGGTTGGTGAGGGCAGATTTACAACATTAAAGGGCAAGTAGGAGTTGCTCATAGTGGGGTGTTTGTGACCCACAGACTTCCTGCACTTCTTGAAAACCCTACAGAGCTTGGTTCTTTGACACACATGGGATCATCATGGGTAAGAATCAACTCTGTGGCGACTGTTTTAATACTTTAATGACTCCGTTGCTGGAGATACTGGAAAAGAGCCAGATTCTCTAGGAGGAACTGGCCTTTCCATTACAGTCCCATTTTTAAAAAATCTGTTATTTCACAATCTGAAAATCTTTTAAAGCAGATAATGAAATCAGCAAATCCACAGATCTTGGAGGGCTCTAAGTCTGTTGGAACTTTGTCTTTTTCTATTAAGGTAGCTTTGTCTGAAAAGCCATCAAAGCTGATGCCTGGGCTAAACTGAGTTACTGGAGATTAGTACTTGAAGGGAAAAAAATTACTATCATCAAGTCTTGTGAAAAGTGGAGAAAAAGCTCCTGCAATTTATCTGTAAAGGCTAAGATGAAGAAATAATGGGATTTTACTAGTAAGAAGTCTCTAACCTTATTTAAACTTTTATTCATTTCCCCGTTTCTCAATTCCTCAGTCAAACTCTACACAAGTGAGTTTTAAGATTATTGTGAACATGTTTGGTAAATTTATTTTCCCAGAGTTCCTTTAATATTTGGAATTAATTATGCTGCCTAATATAACACGTTAATCGATAGTGGTTTGGAGTAGGTCTTAGGGACGTGCTCATTGACCAGCCCTCTGAGCCTTCAGGTTGTCTGTGAGAGGTAGTAGGGAATTGGAGATAGAGCCACATATTTTAGAGCTAGCATGCTCTGGGACAACCACTTTACCTTCATCTGCTACAGAGGGAAAGACCAATGCACATTGAGCTCACTGATAAGTAGCCACTAACCATGATGCTAATCTGATGAAGCTAAATGAAGATCAGAAGTCCAGGTGGTTCCATTGTGAAGGCATGCATTTCACCCTGGCAAGTGATTAAGGAGGACATTAGAAACATAGACAAATGTAAGCATTGCAGATTTCTTGCCCATTTTCCCTGTATTCAAGAAAAAAAGTTGCCTATGAAGATTCCACTTTCCTACCTTCACCTGGCCCCCACCCAATTCTGCAGAAACCATTATCTAATTAAAATAGCTTACTTTTATAGTATTTCATCTTTCTTATCCTAATATATATAACATATATATATGTATGTATATATATGTGTGTGTGTATGTGTGTGTGTGTGTGTGTGTATATATATATATATATATATATGGTACAAAGTCCTTCATTTTCTTAATTTTCCAGCCATATACAGTTCAGGGAGACCACTTAGATCCCTACAGAGGAGGCACTCAAGATGCTCCCTTCCCATACAGAAGTCCAGTTCTTTATCCCTGTGTTCTAAGGAGCTTTTAACCCTGGGCTGAGGCTACTGCTTGTTCTCAGATCACCAACACTGAAGTATGTATCTGTTTACAACAGCCTGAGTTTTAAATCTCAGGTTCACACAGCAAAAGAAATCACTCTGAATAAAGGGTGTGAACATAGTCTCTCTGGTTTCAATTTAAACTAAAATTAGGAATCTTCATTTTGTCACTTGGATGCCAAACATTGACTTGATCATTTTATTCTAAGGATTGGTTGAGATTCTAAAGAGAATAACAGAAACAAATTTCCCTTAATTCCAGGGGCTATAGGTCGCCAGTGTAAGCTGAGTTATAATCCTGACTGAGGAAGAGGGTGAAGTATCATATTTAACAGCCCAGAACACTGGAGAATAACTGGATGATGAAAGCGTGCTGTATCAGGGAAAAGTGTGAGGCTACCTGAAAAATAAATTGGGAGTGAATAATAATCAAGCTTAATTTTCCTTTGGGCAATATTCTCAAAATTAGATATAGAGGCAATACACTAAAATGTTTTTAAAGTACTTATGGATAAAATTAGAAATAAATGAAACCTAAAATTAACCAATTTTGGCCGATGCTTTTATTGGTCACTGATCATTTCCATAATGCCAAGTTTAATAGGCCTAGAAATATGCCACCTGCAATGACCATCTCCCAAAGTATACAATGGTATAGATACTATCTCTAAGTTTAAAAAAAAAAAAAAATTGCCTTTGAGTCAGTTCTGACACATGGCAACCCCACATGTGTCCAAGTAGAACTGTGCTTGGTAGAGTTTTCCATGGCTGATTTTTTGGAAGTAGATCACCAGGTGAGGGACTGCCATTTCAAATGCTGTGTAATTGTCCCTTCGTCTGAGGTGCCTCTGGGTGGACTGAAACCACCAGCCTTTTGATTAGTGACAAATGTGTTAACCATTTCTGCCACCCAGCTCTTTCAAAAGTAATGAGCATAGGATAACAGGATCCTTTTTGTTTGTTTATTAATTGAGATTGAGAAAGAAGAGAGTAGGTAGTTTTCACAGTAGAAACTGGTTAGTAGGAGCTCTAGTCCACTACAAGAATAAAAGGTCTTATCTGGCAGGTGGAGTATAATAGGCTTAGAAGGACTGCCGTGTGTGTGTGTGTGTGTGTCTGTGTGTCTGTCTGTCTGCTTTGAGCTGTGATTTTTTTTAATTCTAGCTGTGATTCTCTTCAATTTAGGTCCTGATCAGATACCTCTCAGGGAAGAATTTGAGCAGATTATGCTGAAAGCTATGCAGGAATTTACTCTGAGAGAGCGAGCCCTGCAGATGGGTGCCCAGTGTATACCTGTGTCTCCAGGACAACTCCCCTGGCTTGCTAGATTAGTTGCCAGTGTATCTCAAGACTTGGTACATGTGATTGTGACCCAGAACTCTTTGGCTGAGGGCATTTCAGAGACATTGAGGACACTGAGTGAAATGAGACACTATCAAAGACTACCAGATTATGTTGTGGCAATTTGTGCATCAAAAATCAGAGGAAATGAATTTTGTGTGGTCGTATTAGGTGAGTTCTTTTTTTCATCTATCCATTCATTCAATCCATTTGAAGAGTATTCATTGGGTACCTATATGTTTCAGGCATCCGTGTAATCTCTGGCTAACTACTTCAACTTGAATTCTTCCTTCTAATTTTAACTTCCCTTTCCTTCTCAGATCAGGTATTTGTAGCCCTTAGTTTGGCTTGTGTCTCTGTCAGCTGGTTGGGGAGTATTATTTCAAAGCTCACCCTAGTAATAGATACCCTTATCTCATGTAACTTCTGTCCTTATAAGGTTTTGGAAGTATTACCACTCTTGCATGTGATAAAACCAGGACTACAGGTGGCCTAAGACCAGTTAATCAAATTTGCCAAAAACTTAGCTCATATAGTCACCTCCTAACTGAAGAGGGTATTTAATGTTACAACATTGATTCCAAAGAAAAAGTTCATAAAATTGATTTTTCTTTTTTCCAGTGCTGATTTTCTACCAGACTGGTGCAGTCACCATCTTGGGGAGCTTTATAGAGTAAATTGTGCTTCTCTCCTATTTGTAGTGAATGCCTCTTACCTCTCTTTATCAGAGTGGTTAAGCCCTCTCACTTTGGGGAATCTGCCTGCTGTCTGTCTCTGCTACATGTATCTTCCAGAAAGCTTTATCAGGAAGTGTGACACACTAAATTTTCTTTCATTTTAATTTATGAAAAATACTTAATGGCATGAGTTTATATTTTTAAGACAGGTATACATAATAACCTTGCAAACACAATTTTTTTTTTTTTAGGTTTTTTTCCTAGTCCTTTTCCTAGTCATTTTCCTTTGTCATTATAAACATTTTCTGTGTTTCTGAATATAGTCTTAAAATTGTCATTTCAAATGCTATATAATTAATTGCTCATCTTTTGGTGCACTGTAATTTTCTCTATCAAGTCCCCTAATTGTTGTTGCCAGTTTTGGCTATTATAAATAAAATTCTAGTGAACTTTGCTGTATTTAGCTTTTCCCTTTTGTTGGAGAGTCATCTCTTCTCTCCCTCTTCTCCAGGTCAGCATCAGTCCAGAGCCCTGGCAGAGAGCATGCTCACCACAAGTGAGTTTTTGAAAGAAATTAGTTATGAGCTCATCACAGGAAAGGTCAGTTTCCTGGCATCACATTTCAAAAACACGTCATTAGGTGAGTGGTTGTGAGATGCAGAAACACTGCCAACCTCTAGCTACATGATTTTTCTGAATTTAAGTCTTAGCCCATCAAGGAGATGAATGTGGAACTCAAGCTTGCCAGCTGATTACCTGTCATCTGGAATGATTTATCCTAAGTTTTTTTACTAACATCACAGAAGGCAGCAGCATGGTCCCTTGGAAGGCACACTAGCCCTAGGGTCAGAAGCCTCAGCTCAGTCATTGATTTGTTGCATGACCATGGACGAGTGTCTGTCTCTTCAGCCTCAGTGTTCCAATATATTCAATGGAAACATTATAATCCTATCCTGCCTGATTTAAATATTGTGAATGTCAAGGGAGATAAAGCATGGGCAAGCTGTGTAATCTGTAAGCATGAAACAAATGAGGGTCGTTCTAAGTCTAAAGAAACCACTGTAGAAACAGCTATGAAAATCTGGCTGACCCCCAAATCCTAATGAGAACCCAGCTGTGTTGCCCAACTTTGATACAAAGGATAATAACCTTAACACTCCTTGTAATCTTATCTCCACTTTCTTTTGTATTAGGCGATGACCTGGATAAGCTGCTAGAAAAAATGCAACAACGAAGGGGAGACAGTGTGGTTACCCCTTTCAACGGAGACCTTAATGAATGTGTATCCCCTCAGGAGGCTGCTGCTATGATTCCCACGCAAAACCTGGGTAATGTCACCTCAAACCCAGGGGAAACCAAGAGTGGGAAACCAGTTCTAGGAGAGACATTATGGAGGCTAAGTCATTCTGAAGGTTGTAAGGACTTGTCTCCAAATCACAGACCATGACAGGCTTTTCTTCATTATCTTTATGATAAATTGAGCCCAATAAGAAATGCATTATCTTGTGGCCTAGATCAAAGGCCTTGTTCTTAATAAATGTCACAGAGAATTGAAAAGTCCAAGATTTTATCTTAAGCAATCTCCTTTTATTTTTCCTCAAAAGATCCTGGGGTCCTCAGTGTACTTTCTTTAGTTTCACCAGCTCTGTTGTTAATGATGGTTGAGGGTCTCAAGAACTGCTTGAAGGAATCTAGACTGTAAGCTGTATAGGGCTTCTGGTTCCCTCTCCCTTCACTTGAACTCTGACTTGTAAAACATACATATCTCAGGGCTGGCTAGTCCTTCCTAGTGGAGAGAACAGCAATCCAGCTCATCTTCAAATGCCCCACAACAGATATCAAGGACATAAGGAGTAGGAGAGGGGAGGGCAGTGGGACAAGGATAAAGAGTCTGATGATTAGACTGGATTACTTTGAGTTCAGATTCCTTCCGCAATTTACTAATTGATAGAGACAGCACAGAAAAAGATGAAAAAAGAAAAGGAGAAAGGATTAATAGGAAACAGATCCATATAAACTGCTGCTGATAGTCATTTGGCCTCCACCTGATAGGGATGCATCATTCATATATTAGGACTGCCTCAGGCCAGAAAAGGGATGTGCCTTGACATCAACTCAATCATAACAACAAATGGAAATATGAATGATCACATTTTTTATTTCTGGACAGTATTTGCTAATAAAGTTATCACCCAGATGATCTAAAATGTGTTTATGTTAATTTTTCAAAATACTTACTAAAATTAGAATTTAAAACTTTGCAGAATACTTACTTCCAAATGTGTATTGTTGATTCCCAATATAAGAAACACTGCATAAAGTAATTTTTGTTTCCTAAATCATTTTAAGTAAATTAAATAAAATATATTAAGTAATTTAAATCCTATGAATCTTAAATTATGCCTCATTTGTGTTAGTCCACCACCTATTAAATAGTCAATGGCCCATGTATTGGAAGACAGACTTAGTTTGGTTGGTAATTATTGTGGATGAAGAACTACTCTGACCTGAGCTGCCATTAAAAGTTGCAGTTTTAACCTGTTGCAGTGAGTTCTCTTAGCTAGTAGGGAAACCAACTGAAGCTAGGGTGTTGTAACTATTCTCTTTGTCTTGGCTGCAGTAATTAGGACAGGTTTATTTGGCCTTTGTGAGTCTGCTTCACATTGTTTCATGTGTTCCTGATAAGAAGAAGCTGCTTAAGCAAAGTATTGGGTGTTGTCTGCTCAGGTGTTTAGCTGATTAGGCTGGTCTCTTTCATTGTGTGGGTGTATATGTATTCATGTATACTCATATATAAGGTATTAATTGATTGGTTTCAACTTGTCGTAAAAAGCTACTAACATGGTTAGAGTGTCTGGGTGTTGTTTTCCTGACATGTCATCTATGGAGTGGCCAAATGGTTATGTCATAGGTCAGGTCTGTTCAAATAGTGCATGCATCAGCACTGGAGTTAACTAGAACCACCTAGACCTAGCAGATCATAAGCACTGGCAAGGTTGGGTAGAGTAGCAAGAAAGGTGAGTCCAGTGTCTCCATGACCTATGTTGTGCATAGGAGTTTTAAGCCATGTTGCAGCTGCCTTGCTGGTAAGTCACTTTGGTGCCATCCAGCAAAATTCAAAAGAACCCAGCATTATTTTAGTTACAGCAATACCTCTTACCCTGAACTGGATCTGGGCTCTGGGACCTGACCTCTGCAGATGTTCCTAAAGGAAACTGGAAACTCTTTCTTTCCCTCTTCAGAAATGAGCCCTGGTTCCAGCTACCAGAACATAGTCTATCTCCCTCATTTCTGGGTAGAGAATAGGGATTTGAATTAGTGATTTTTGAGACAGTCAGTCAATTTTGAGATAATACATTCGTAAAATTACCACATCCACTCCTGAGTATATCCATTCAGCCAAATTTCAGGGAAAATAACCAAACCTATTAAAACTTAATAGAGTGAGAATAGAAAGTGGGAAGTCTAAATGATGGGGTATTACTTTATCATGTGTAATGTGTGCCTATACGGCCATCACTGAAGTAAATTAATCTCGTTTCTATGATTTTTTTATTTTAGATTTAGATAATGAAAGTTTCCAAATTTATCAACCACAGCTTACTGTTGCTAGAAAACTGTTATCTCAGGTGTGTGCTATCGCAGACAGTGGTAGCCAGAGCCTAGACCTCGGCCACTTCAACAAAGTGGACTTCATTATCATCGTCCCAAGATCAGAGGTTCTGGTCCAACAAACTCTTCAACGAATTCGACAATCAGGTAAGATTGACCCTATGTAGATCCAGCCTTTCTTTTGCTTAATCCAAATGTTTATAGACTACTTATATTCTTTTTTTATAGTACTAAAAATCATAAAACAATTTAAATGTTACTTCAAATTTATCTGTAAGTTTTCCCTGAAAGTACTTTGACCCTTTTCCCTCCAAGGTCAAAGGTAAATTGATGTGCATGTTTGTCAGATACTGTTAGGTCTCTGATGTAATTACTCAGTTAATCAGTGGACTGGAATCTACCACTTATTTATGAAGAGAAATTTTGTCAAGGCAAGGGCCTTTGCCACCTGAACTCCCTCTATGTGCTCAGGTAGGTCATGCTGATAGGTGTATTCTTAGACATTTAGCATATTACCAGCATGATTTTAACTAGGCCACCATCCCCTATGTCAATAATGAAAAGCCCAATTAAAAAATAGAACATCGGCAGTTCCTTCTAATGACTTCAAGACAATAAGTAGAGGAAAATAGTTTTCCTAGAAAATATAAAAAGGTAAGGAGCAGAAATTTTAGAAGTCTGTGGTGAATAGTATCTCTTTCAAAAATAAAATGTGCTTAGAGTTACAAAAAACTGTAAGGAATTTAGAAAACTGGGACAACTGAGAAATGCTTGCCTTTGTTTACTAGGTTTTAAAAGGAAGTTATGTGAAGTTGTTTCTAGGTATTTTCCCAAAGAAAAAACAAACCCATTGCTTTCAAGTCAGTTTTACTTATAGCAATCCTATAGGACAGAATAGAACTGCCCCATAGGGTTTCCAAGGCTGTGACTCAATGGCAAATAACAACAGCAGTCTTTAGGGAAGCAGACTGCCGCATCTCTCTTCCGTGGAGCTGGTGGGTAGAATTGCCAACTTTTTGGTTGGCATCTGAGCATATTAATCACTGCACCACCAGGGCTCCTTCTGGTGGGGGAAAAACATGTATACCCACAGGTAGAAAGCAGAAAAATTCAGAAGTGCTTAAAATGTGGTTCTGTATTGCACATCTGTCAAACAGTGCTCCTGAACTTCAGTCATACTTCACATGACTTGGGGATCTTGTTAAAATGCAGATTCCTCTCTCTAGTTAGTCTAGAATCTGCATTTCTAATTAGCTCCCAGGTGATGCCAACACTGCTGGTCAGATGACCACGCTTTGAGTAGCAAGGCTCTGAAAGAAATTTATCATTGCTAGTTCCACAGGCAAAATGATCTGACAACAGATTGCTGCAGTGGTTAAAGCACTTGGCTGCTAAGCCATCCACAAGGATCAGCGGTTCGAACCCACCAGTTGCCCTTTGGAAGAAAGATGAGGCAGTCTGCTTCCATAAAGATTTATAGCCTTGGAGACCCTATGGGGCAGTTCTGCCCATCCTATAGGGTCACCGTGAGTCAGAATCAACCATACAGCAGCGCGTTTGGTTTGGTTTGAACCTCTCTTGGTGGCTGTGACTAACATATGTAAAGTCTTTTCTAGCCAATAATATTACTTTGCAAAAGTTCTGCCACAGTCCTTCCTCCTAGAAATTTTAGGAGCCTGATATAGGACTCGGGAGCTCTAGTAGCGTAGTGCCTGAGGCACTTGACTGCTAACCAGAAGGCTGGCGGTTCAAACCCATCAGCCACTCCTTGGAAGGAAGATGGGGCAATCTGCTTCCATAGTGATACTGCCTTGGAAACCCAAGGAGGGGTTGCTATGAGTCGGGTCCCACTCAACAGCCCATAACGACAACAACAACAACTACAATATAAGACTCTGGAGACTGGATTATTGACAGGACTCTGGAGAGCAACACAAATTCAAAGTGACATGGTTAGCCACCATCTTTGAGCAGGCACAGCTATTTATTTCCTACCCATCCACTGCCATCAAGTCAAGTCTGACTCATAGCGATCATATAGGACACGGTAGAACTGTCCCCCACACGGTTTCCAAGTTTGTAAATCTTTATGGAAGTAGACAGCCTCATCTTTCTCCCAAAGAGCAACTGATGGGTTCAAACCACTGACTTTTTGTTTAGCAGTTGAATGCTTTAAATACTACACCACCAGAGCTCCTGCATTTGTATCCTACTCAGGTCAAAATATCATGGGGTGGTAATTAAGATTGTGTGTCAGCTTGGCTGGGCCATGATTTTGAGCGGCTTGGCAGCGTGATGTGGTTATTCCTCATGATAAGATTGGAAGTGGTCTAATCTGCTGTGGAATCTGCTTTAGTAGTTGCCTTTGGAGTGTGGCCTGCTTCCAGTATATCTGAAGAAGTTTTGAGAAAGGTGTTTAGCTTTTTGGCACATTTTGGATCCTGCATTTGGCTGAGTATTCGTCTCCAGTTCCTGGACTTGAGCCAGTGGCCTGCTGTGTTGCCTGCCAGTGTTGGGATTTTCCTGGACTTGAACCAGTGACCTGTCATGTTGCCTACTGATCTCAGGATTGTGCCATTTTACCTACTGATCTTGGGTTCATCGTAACACCCGTTTGGTGCTGGGTTCATTGGCCTCAGTAGCCAGCAACTGCACGAGTTAGGAGAAGCATCTAGCTCCAGTAGGCCTGAAATAAGAAGCAGAGCTAAAGCCAAAGTCACACAGGGCCTTCACCCACCTCCTAGAGTCAGCACTCTGAACTTGGACTTTCAGCCTCCTAAACTATAAGAGAATAAATTCCTGTTTGTTAAAGCCATCCACTTGTGGTATTTCTGTTACAGCAGCACTAGAGAACCAATACACATGGGCAACAGATTTGGTTGCCATGTAAGACGTAGCATTGTTGTTGTTATGTGCTGTTGAGTCGACCCCGACTCATAGCGACCCCTCCTTGGGTTTCTGAGGCAGTATCACTACAGAAGTAGGATTTCCCAACCTTCCTTCCAAGGAGTGGCTGGTGGGTTTGAACCGTGAGCCTTCTAGTTAGCAGTCAAGTGCCTTAGGTGCACTATGCTACCAGAGCATAGGCCCTTGTTGATGATGGTAAGCATTTTGAATAGTCAAAACCCTGGAAACCTAAGTGCCTGGTTAACAGTGCAGTCTCCTTTTTAGCCTCTAAAAATCTGAGTTACAAAACATCCTGTTGGAAATACTGATATATGGGTGATTAGCCAGAGAAGGTCAGATGCTCTCCCAGAGACCAGAGTGAGCTCCAGGCTACCTCAGTTACTGGCATTTCCACATTTTCTTTCTACTTCCCTCTAGTGTTGGAAATAGATGGGCTTTAGTGCACCAAGCACTAACCAGGCTTTTTAAATTTCTCATGGATTTCCCATTTTCATAACATGGAGGGAGTGCCTTCTCTTTTAGGCACTTTAATTGTACCAGTTTACATTTATGGCCTTCCTGGGTTTGTGATCTGATATTCCCAAATTGTGCTTGAGCAAACACATCATAGCACCTGTTTGAAGTGGTGAAATCATCCCTGGTCAGCAGTTGTACTGTCTGCAGAGCCTTTTCCTGATATAACCTCTTGATGACCTGCACCTTAACCTTTCTCAATAAATTCAAACCCCTAAATAAAACCTTGCAGTTTTGACATATGAAGAAATTGTATAGGTCTTTCTTTTCCCCTTCTTGATGCCCTCAGATTTTTCTAAAGTGAGTATTTAAGATTGTAGACCCTAGAAAGGTACCAGAGTTTGACCAGTTACATGAGCTTAGATTCCAGAAAAATCAACATATGAACAGATTTGGAAAATTCAATGCTAAGCATATTTTTAAATTATATACATCTGGCTTTGGCATATGTACTGAAATTTTTGCTATAAAACACTGTAAAAACAATTGCTTCTACATATTTTTAAATCACGTTTTCCATTTTTAACATAGAAAAAAATGATTATTCTTTATTTTAAAAATAAAAAAAAATTGAAACATTTATCATCTCCCTATTCAAGGAAAACCATTGTTAAAATTTGGGTTAACAAATGACTCAATATACCTCGTGTTCCAGATACTCTTTTCTACTTTGTGTTTTTTGCTTTACATCATAGTATGTGAATATTTTTCCATGTCGTTAAAAGACTTTGTAAACATTCTTGATGAATATGTAGTATTTCATATCATAACTATACCAACATTTATTTAAATATTTAAGTACCTTCATATTTTTTGAGCATATATCAACTGATAGTAGTGGGGGAAGGACCATAAACATGTTAAAAGGTGAAGAGAAGTTTTCCAGGGCAGAGTAAATAGTTAGCAGGAGATTATGTACGGTAAATCTTAAAATTATAGTTAGTAAAACAAGGTTCTCAAGAAATAAGCTGGCCAGTTTTCTTCATACTTCCCCTTAACATGATCACCCTCTGAATCAAGAATCTTAGGTTGCCTAAGGTAACTGAGGACAACACCTTGGGGCAGAAATTTTTTTAAGTCTTGGTAATGCCTAATGTCTCATTTAGTACCTTTTCTCTCTCAGTAGGTGCTCAATTAATATTTCAATGGAGAGCTAGAGGGAGGAAGGAAGGGGCAGAAGGAGAGATGAAATGGTATCTAAGTATTTTACTTCCTGGTTCTATTTGCCTTTCCCTAAAGCAAGCGTTTCAGCAGCCAACCTGCCCAGAAAAGCACCAGACAGGGAAAGGCAGCCGAGGCATGCAAAAAGGGCACGTCCTTGGCAGTGCATGTGTGACTGAAAGCAGAAGATGAAAATAGAAACCATCATGTTGTTGCAGACCCAGCACTATAAGTGAAGCATTTAGAACCTCAACTCACATTCTAATTTTAAAAAAGAAAGGAAAACATTATGGAATGAATTTGAAGGTTAAAAAAAGAGACATGAAATGGGTTAAACATTTTTAAGTTTTCTCAAAGACTTGTCGTTATTGGAGTGGTTGATGGAAATACAGTGTAAGGAATTTTTGACTAAAGGAAATACTTTCATATAAGGGTCAAGTTTTTTGTTTTCTTTTAAGTCTGAAATTATACTATAGTTCTTCTAATTCAGGAGACAGACCCTCAAATTCTGTAAAGGAGAATACTAAAATATTGGTGTGTTCTGGTTACCTAGTGCTGCTCTGACA